AAAACATGCTTATTGATACAAATAACAGACGATAGTGTCAAAAATATTACATTGTGACGAATAGATTCTTCGCTATCATTTTGTACACATACCAAAGCTAAATAGGCAATGATACAACCAAAGTTTGTTACATTGATCTCTCTGTAGATTTGGTCAAGGTTTAGATCACGAACATTTACTGCACGATGTAGATCTCGATGGCGGTCGAGAATTGTATTTATATGAAACGATAAAGTTTGCTTATCAATATCAATTTCATTTCGTTTCAACTCATCAAAAATTATATCTATGTTATCCATGATACTCTCACCACAACGATTGAACAACAAATGAGACACACAGTATTTATTTCAGTAAATATACACAAATTTACATTAATTAACTAGCAACGTATTATTATTACAAGAGGTCTATTTTATCAAGTTCACTTGTTAAACCAAATCTACGAAATTCATCATAGGCCTCCTTAGTGTTAGATTTAGAACTATTAAATGTCTCTCCTGTTTCTTCAATCATGTACTGGTATTGTAGTGGATTACTGAAGAGCACGATGCCAGTGTTGGTTACCCGAGGGCCTTGTTTCTTCCATTCTACTCAGACATTTTTTTTCTTTTCTTCCCATTCTCGACTTCGCTCGCAGCCAATCTGTAATAGTTGTCCAAGCTAACACCTGTTTTTTTCTCGAATTTTTCCTTCCTTTTTGTCATATCTGGAAATATCTCACCCACAAGCATCTGCTTACAGTTCGACAAATATGTAAAGGTAGGGCCCTGCACTCGTTTAGGAACACCAACACTCAGAATCAATTGTGATTGCATTTGACGCAACAATATATCATACAGGGCATCGTCCCCACGAATAAATTTCGGTACCAAACCCTTTTCAATCAAAATGTTTTCCAAATCTGTAATTTGCCATTTCGCCTTTTCAATAGGTAAACCAACCTTATTCTTACACTCTGTACTCAATTCAAACGATTTACCACTCATCCACGAAGAAACAACCTTTTCCCACTTTGCTTGCTCCATCTCGACTGAAAAAGAGCGCGATAATCTGTTTCCCCTCAAAAAACTTTATCTTCCAACAACCAATAAACGTTAATTCTACCAACAAGATAAATTTCAGCAGCTTGCCAAAAGACCTCCAGTAAGAACGTTGTCAAAATATAGACGATGCTTGTTACAAGACGCTTGTCGATTTTTAATACAAACACTCATTAAATCAAACAACCAATCATAGTAAGCCAACATTAATCCCTCCATTGTATGATACACGAGGAGGGCCGCTAAAAAATGCGTAATCAGCAAGTTTCACATATCCTTGTTTAAACCTGCCCGCTTGACGTCATTACTTACCTGATCCTCCCCGCGTGACGTCCCTACGCACCCTCATTTGTGCGGCCCCCTTAATTACCTGCATATATAATGATGCGCCGCCCCCTTGCATAGTAATTACCTGCATATATAATGTGCGGCCCCCTTGCATAGTAATTACCTGCATATATAATGATGCGGCCCCCTTGCGGCCCCCTGCGGCCCCCTGCGGCCCCCTGCGTAGTCAGCAAGTTTCGACCGATCGTGTTTAAACCTGCCCGCGTGACGTCATTGCATATATTTATGACGTATGTTAATGAGTGACGTCATTACGCACCTCCTCACTCCTCCTCAAAAATCCGGGTCGAACGGCCTCTATATTACTACTCACGTGAGCCAAGTCCGTTTTCTCCCTCAAACGTTCCCGCGTTATTGCACCTCGCGCGCTCCGTTAGACCCTAGAGAGACGAACTTGATCGAAGTCTATCCATTGGTCAGAGCGCTGTATTTTGCAAGCCTGCGTTCAGTGTTGGCCAATTACGAATAGTTCATGTTAAATCAATGTTTTAAATATATAGGCGAGGGGTTCTACATCCATGCAGTTCTAGTACTTTAATCATAGTAAATGTGAATTCGAAAAAAGTTGTGAAATTGTGAAAAATAATAATAATATACAGTGAAAACATCGAGAATTATGAGAATCATTTATTGAAAAGAAAATTTCAGATTACTTTGATTAGAAATCAGAACTAAGAAAAACTCCAAGATGTTTTTTGCGAAACTTTTTAATTCAAAATTTTATATGATAATCGAGATAAAACTTGTCAAAAAGAACCAATGGAGCCATCATGCATGGCCCAAGAAAAACGAACTACTGAAGATGGAAATTGAAAGGACATCCATATTAAAGATCACATAACCTAACTGACCGTATTATTTATATAAGGGATATAAGAATTTCTCAAAAGATGGAACTTGGTAGATACCTAAACAAGGTTGACTGGAGTATTGTAGACTTGCATGACACATGTAAAGGAAAAAATAAAGTATTTAAAATCTGATGTCATAACTACAGGATTGAACCTTCTCAGGCCAGAAAAAAATGATAAATTTTACCATAATGACCCTCCGAGGATTACTGAGGATTTCAAGTGTATGGAAAAACCCGGCAATATTACAGCCTCTAAATTCTATCGTAATAAAGTGAACAAAAGGGGGAAAAGATGTCGCATCCACTATTAGGCTTGTAAGGTTAGCTATCTTAAACCCAAAAACTGGTAGAAAAGGGCATATGTGGGGCAACTTCACCCTCCGGTATCGACAGCTAGGCCCACATTTGCAAATTGGCAATCTTGACCAAATTTCTCCATCTGAGATTGCAAAGACAATTAACGATAGATTCTTGGATCCAATGAAGGAGAATATAGTCCCCTTAATGATCTTGACCTACCGATGTTAATTGATACTTCGGAAGACATCTCGCATGTCGATATGAATATGACCTCGCCGAAATCTGTGCACAGCAAATTAAAATCATTGAACACTGGCAAGGTCCCATCGCCTGACGGTATGGAGAACTGGGTTTTGAAAGACTATGCAGGTACATATTGGCCTCGCCCATTTCAACTTTGCAAAATGTTGGATATAACGAACAAAAATTACCTTTGGCGTGGAAACAAGCAAATATCACTACCATCCCTGAAGAAAAACCGGTGGCTGATATCAGTAAACAACACAGACCTACATCATTAACCTCTACTCTATCCAAAATTTCCGAAGAATCCGTTGTCGAAAATTATATTGCCCCTGCTATTTTGAGTGTCATTGACCCACAGCAATTCGGAGGAATACCTCGGTCATCGGCCCCGTTAGCACTTATAGCTATGGTTCGAGAATTGAGTAAGGCTACGGAGCGTACCGGGAATGCTGTTTGGGTGGTTCTCCAAGGCATTTGATCTCATTATTGACCATCAAATCCTTGCACAAAAAATTTTTCAACTTCATCTTCATTTCTGACACATAGAAAGCAAAGGGTAAAACTATCACGGGAATGTTTTTCAGAATGGCATGGGGTCCCATCAGGAGTTCCACAAGGGACCAAACTCGCCCCTGACAATGTCAACAAAATCCGATCAATTCCATCAGCAGTTTGTCAATACAATAATAATGTGCAGTGCTTCATTGTTTACAACATAGCCACATAGGAAAATAAAACACGCTGAAGCGAAGGAAACCAAGTTCAAACGATTTGGCAAATCTGTTACTGACTAATCTTTTAAAATAATAACAATGAAACTAAACATATTTCTTCTAGAAACACGATATTAAATTTATAGCTTACGCCCGTATTCTAAGAGCTTACTCACATTCACAATCAATGAGTGGAGGTTCAATTTGAGCTTCTGTTGAGTGTAAATGCTAATTTTTAATAGCTGGAGGGTTAGTGTCGTCCCTTACTCTGTGACTACTCACCCTCCAGCTATTCAAAAACCGCATTTACACTCAAGAGAAGCTCAGATTGAACCTGCACTCATTGAGTGTGTGTATAAGTGAGCTTTTAGAATACGGGCGTTAGTCTTACCTGATGTGGTGGTATATAGCAAAATACCATACCAATTCAATTATTTTCAAGTTTTGTGAATACTGCACCAGTAGAGACAAATAGATTTCCGGTGCTCTTTATAATGAAATTAAACAGTTTGATTATATAAAACATATGCTGTAGTTAATATTAAGTTTTGACAATACAATAACCACGACAGTGATTACTTTTTAACAATAAATTTAAGGATTAACACAACAACAACAACAACAACAATTTTATTATAGCTATAAATATTTACAATAACAATCTGTCCGCAGGTAGCAAAAGCTAATCGAGGCGGACAATTACAAAATAATTAAATTAAGGATAGATATTTGAGATGCAGTTTACAAAAGGTGAAAGAATAATAAGAGAAACTATAAGAGATATAATATTACGTGATTTAAAATTACGCAGTTGCAATTTAGCATAAGCATCAACAAAAAATAATAAAAGGAACAAGGTAAGAACATAGATATGCAGTTACCTATAATTTAATTTATGTTTGAATTTTTTTTATTATTGTAGCGAGATCAACATAATCCTCCTCTATAGTAAGTATAGATAACAATATCTCATGCAATTTTCTCTTGAATTTGTTTTTAGAAGAATTACACAAATCATCAGATATACTATTCCATATCTGGACTCCTGTTCTTGAAAATGACCTATGTAACTTGTCCAAACGCGAACTTTTAACATAGAAGTTGCTGCCAGAGGAGAACCTAGTGTTACATTTGTTAACTTCACGCGCCGGGATAAATAAATTTGAAATATTTAACGGCGTCATTTTGTTATAAACATCGTGCATTAGCATAGAAACAGACTTAAAATAAAGCATATCGATAGGTAAAATTTGATCAGAAATAAAAAAAGGGATCGCATGGGATCTATACTTCCCAAAGTTCATTAATCGAAGAGCACGCTTTTGAAGCTTAAAAATCTTGTTAAGGTAAACCCTAGCAGCTTGACCCCATAGAATAATACCATACGAGGTATATGGTAATATAAGAGATCTGTATATATCCGATGTAGTACTCCTTGGAACAAAATGCCTTAATTTGGCAATAATGCCAATTGATTTGCTTATTTTCGAAGCAACGTAGTCGATATGATCTTTCCATGTGAGGCCACTATCAATAAGTACACCCAGATATTTAACATAATTTTTATGCTCCAGAGAGCTAAATGTATTTGAATGATTGTCGAATATTTTCAGGTCTACCTGATAATCTAACCTTTTCTGGTGAGAGTGGAAAATGACAAAATTAGATTTTTTAACGTTAAGAGATAATTTGTTTGCAGTTAACCAATTATATAATTTGATTAGTTCGTGATTAACAGTAGTTTCCAAGGACCTTAGATCATTGTCAGCATATAATAGATTGGTATCATCGGCAAACAAAGAGAATTTTAATTTATCGGTAGAGTTATATATATCGTTAATGTAAATAAGAAATAACAGTGGTCCTAAAACCGATCCTTGAGGTACGCCAGAGAGCACTGTCTCTTTATCTGATACTACAGTACCAATCTGCGTTGTTTGAATGCGATTTAGTAAATATGACGAGAACCAATCATTAATAATTCCACGTATTCCATAATGCTGTAATTTTTGTAATAATATGGAATGATTTACTGTATCAAATGCTTTCTGTAAATCAATGAAGATACCACACGTATACATGTTTTTATCCATATTTGTTTGAATTTGATTCACAATGTCAATTATGGCATGTTGGGTTGAACGTTTTTCGCGAAAGCCATATTGATTTTCATATAGCATATTGTATTTCTCAAAAAAGTTTTTAAGACGCTTATACATAACTTTTTCAAAGATCCTATTGAAAATTGATAGAAGCGATATTGGTCTATAATTGGAAGGATCGGTTTCATCGTCATTTTTAAAAATCGGAATAACTTTAGCATGTTTAAGTTTATCTGGATAAATGCCAGATTCTACAGATTTGTTGATTAAGACGGATAAAGGGTTACTTAAAATATATCGTGAGCATTTTAAAATACGTGCAGGGCAGGAATATAGACCATATGATTTGTTCAACGGAATTGTCATTATTTCCAACTCAAGCTCTTTTGGGGAGACATAATTAAATGCGAATGAAAACGGATTAGTGGAATTTGATAAATATTCATGAAATGAGGTTGAGGAATTTGGCATTTTAGAGGCCAGTTCATGGCCAACCGAGGAAAAATGTTTGTTAAAAATGTTTGGGAATTCTGAAGTATTAGACGATAATATATTTCTTTTAGGACATCTAAGAGACGTTATATGTTTGCTACTCTTCCTTTTACGGTTGATGAGATTATTTATTCCTTCCCATGTTTTCTTAGTGTTGAAAAGATTATCCTCAAAATATTTCGTATAGTAAGCTTTCTTACTCAAACGAGTAAGAAGTGATATCTTATTTCTGTAATATTTATACATACTTATATCACCTGAGCAAAATAATACATTCTTAGTTTTAATTGATTTCCTTAAGCCACGTGTTATCCATGGTTTTGATAATTGTTTACTTTTACGTTTCGATACTGGTTTCAAGGGCGCGTGCTTATTGATTAGTTTTTGTAATTTATTGTAGAATATTGAGAATGATTTATTAAGGTCATTCGTTCTTGAGATGGTTGTACTCAAATCTAGCTGAGAAAGTTCAGTATTGAATTTAACCTCAGAGAAATTTGAGTAATCTCGAGATAATTTTGTTTGGCTTTCACTATTATTAACACCTATGTCCGAACAAGTAATGCAAAACTGCGAGTAGTGATCGCTTATATCAGAAACTATGTTACCGCTTAGGATAGAGCTATCAACGTTATTTGAAAATATATTGTCAATAAGTGTGGCGGAGTCCTTATGCACTCGCGTTGGTTTGTCAATAGTCGGGGTCAAGTTGAAGCTTTGTAGAGAGAGAAGAAAATCTTGTGCGAAGTTACATGAACAACAACGGAGGAGGTTTATGTTGAAATCACCCATCACATAAATAGTTTTGCCAGAAGCCGACAATTTCTCGATAGTTTCTTCAAAATAAGCCTGAAAACGTTCCGGCGAATTGTGTTGCCTATAAATTACACCGCATATAATATTTGCATGTTTCGGTTGAATAATTTCAATCCAAAGCGCTTGAAAAGCCTCATTAGTGCATTTTTCAATTATTGTGTAATTTAGGGCATTATCTATATACATTCCAACTCCTCCAGCAGCTTGAGGCGTTGGAACGTATTCAAAATTATAGTTTTGTAAAGCGGGATTAAAATCACTTATCTCTGTTTGGTTAATCCTAGTTTCTGTGACACCAATTACACTAAAATTATAATGTAGTTCATCTAAGAGATGTGTTTGTAAGTTATCTAAATTTTTTTTTAGGCTTCTTACATTATTGTGAAATAAGGAAAACTTAGAATTATTTAACCTATTTTTTAACTGATCGAAGCTGTGAGGTGAATAATATTTGCAGCGCACTGGTTGTGGGTGTATTTCAGAATCATTGTTTAAACCAAACAGATCTAAATCATATATACTAGTTAAGCGGTCCAATTGTTTTTTTGTCGGTAGACGTCCATCTAAATTATTGCTAAACTGAGATATAAAGTTTACACCGTAAAACGGCATTTCTTGTAGTAGGCGTTTATTCATACGAGTTTTGTCCTTTAAGGTGGCAGTAGCCATATTTATTTGAATAGGGAGAGTATTAATCATACAGTCACTAATCTCTATATTAAAATTAATTTGTTCCTGTTGGCAATCTTTCCAAATCACTTCGCTGTTTGATTCTAATCGGCTGGGAATCTTCATATCTTCGTAAATATATTACGGAATTTTTCGTCCAGCAGAATTTATAATCGTTTTCAATTTTGAATTTCTTAGCATCTACTAAAAGCTGTTGTAATCTAGGGGTTAGATGATCAAATATACCTGCTTCCATCAAGGACGAATCTTGACGTAGTCCAATACTAGCCGGGTCAATTCTCCGTACATCTCGTCTCTTTGCCATCACTTGTTCTCGTGCGAGGCGTCGTGCAAATTTGCAAATGATAGGTTTTGGTCGGCGGCTGTTTGGGTTTCTTGTCGCCACGCGGTGAGCAATGTCAATGTCCATTAGTGACACTTGAACGCCCATAGCTTTGAAAATTCTTTCACAAAGTACACTTGTCTCGGTAGCGGATTCATTCGCTTTAATTTCAGGGATACCCATTAACTTTATATTGTATTGATAGCTGTATTGCTGAACTTCATCGATAGAGTTGGAAAGACTGTCGAGCTTCACAGCTATCTCAGTTACGCGGGTTTCTAGGCGAGAGATCTGTTGCTTTACCGCTTGGGTGAATCGTTTCTGGTCATCATATTCTTTGCTAAGATATTCTAAGCTCTTAAGTGTTTCTTTATTTGAAGTCGAGCAAATATGGTCGCCCTTTGCTATATCAATTTCTTTGCTGTCAACAAGATCTTTTACTTTTTTTAGTTCTTCCATTATAGACTCGGTTTGAGCCTTTAAGTCGTCCTCCTTTTTAAGAGATTTGATTGTGTCCTTTGACATCTTAGTCGAGATATTACTGTAATTATTTATATGTATATGTACTTCAGGAGCTCGGATTTAGACGTCCGTACACAACGAGCGCCTATCATACTCTGCCATTTCCGTTCCTTTCAAACATGAAGCTTAAACTCCGCTAATCATTAGTTATGCAATGACGAGCCACACACTCTAAAAGTAATCTACTGTACGTCTTTCCTAATTAACATTATCAGCGCGACCACAAATGTTCTACCCATGCATGCAACACAAAATCCACACGCTACAGTATTTTGACAAATTTACACAAGAGTTTCAAAGGAAGTACCAGAGTAAATACTGTTGTTCGACTAGTTCAAAACAATTTCGTACTCATTATGTCCATGCTTCAACGACGCTGAAGAGAACGAATTAACGTTTGTTGACAATATGTGTTTTGTAGCAAAAGAATATAGCGAAAGAACTGACTTTAATGTAGCATTGGTTCACATTGAACATTTTCAGCTTGTAAATTTGATAAATTCCAAAGATTCATCAAAAACAACAAAACAATTCCCAAAAAGCAACATAACACCATGACAAAATTCATAGAAATGATTAACCAAACAAGCGAGTTGTCAAGTCTCGTAGAAAGTCGCACGAATGCTAAACTAACAAAGGAAAGAAGTAAAACAACAGATACAAACACATCGGCTAAAGTTTCAAACTCGAACTTCTCTGAATATCTTTTGTACGGCCTGAAAACTAGAGTTATGATAATAAAGGTGATGAGAAGCAAAGTTATGCTTAAAATTTGGTAAGAGGAGGTAGTTGGAACTATGGTTAAGAATACGGCAAGTAGAAGACGACGGCTGAGGAAAACAAGCCGAAAATATCGTCGGAATGGTGGTTTAAATTCTTCATACAAGGGTTTCATCCAATTATCAATGTCTTGGGAAATAGTTTGGCCTTCACTGTCTAAGTATCTGTACAACAATGGACCAAAAATTAAAAGAGGGATGCCAATAACAAACACAACCAAGGAAAGATAACCCAATATAAGCAACCAATTATGTGAAATGCCATTACAATCAAGCCACGGTGCATTTTTTAAATAAGACAGCCCGTCACGGTGTTCACAAGGAAATATCGCATCAAAGGTTTTTGCAGTGATAGGAAAATACACGAACAAAAGTATTCGAAGACTCCAACGTTTGTATCGGTGACTGGAAATATTTCTATTTCGACCACAACATATCTTCGCCAAACCATGAAACAACCATATTAAAGATAACCCCGCGATCGGCAGCAGCAAAATGACAGCAAAGGTAACCTCGGGACGATTTGCAGCAGAAAAGCTACAAGTAAGTTTTGAGAACTCAAAATTAAAGGCGTTTGTTATTTGGTATTTAAGAAGAACTATTTTTGTTGGCCAGATTTTGGCATCAGACAACATCGCATCTAGCGACTGGAAGAAGAAGACCGCTATGCTCCAAAAGCTTTTCAAGTTACTGCCTGCGTCGGAAAGACCTAAGATCCATACTGCAAATATAAGCATAAAGAACCAGCTCGGGATTATGGAATTCGCGTGTAAAACTATAAGCGCCACTGCAAATACAAACAAAACAATGATCATCCGCTTTTTGCGGCGTCTTAAACAAATCATCAAAGTAATAGATATGACAAAGCATGCCAAGAAAGAAAGTAATAAAATGATTGGAAAATTTTTACGGAATTCTGGACAGCGGACACATAAAGAACCCTTTTTGTAGTAACCGTTAATACACTGTGAGCAAAATCTCCCCTTGTTTGCATGACGACAAACACATGACGAGTTACATGTCGTTTTCAGATGGTGAACATTTACCAATCGTAGCCAACATTTGCAGTCTTCGGAGAGGTTACATATTTCATCATCAAACTTTTCTTGTTGGCTGCATTTAACCAGCTTAGTTACATTGTCAAAATCGCCGCAGCATGGCCAGTAACCTTTCTTCATGTTCATCTTGATCTCATTTTGTTTGCTCGATAACAAAGTTTTTGTTTTATTCGTGATTGTTGCCTCTTTCACTTTGCACGAACCACCTTGCATACAGGGCTTGCAATAACTGCGGTAACCGTAGTAACCTTTGTTACAAGAACAAAATAAGTGATCATAATATCCCGGGTCCATTTCTATCTGTCCTCCCGAATTTGAAAACCGAACAGTCGGGCAAGAAAATGTATCTTTCTGTATCTTCACACTGTATGTCAAAATCATATTTATATTTGGGAAAGTACCCTTACTTTTCAAGAACCGGTTTTGTCTGACATCGAGATAGTTCAGAGATTTCAATGGAGTAAAAAAGGTCATTGGTAACTCACCAGTGAAGTTATTTGATGCAACAGCAAGATAAAACAAATACACCATATTATATTCTTCATTTATTGGAAGGCGACCGGTCAACTTGTTGTAACTGAGATCAATATACATGACTTGGTGAAAGTTAAAAAGTGAATATGAAAGTCCACCTTTGAGTCCACAATTGCTTGCAACGAGCATACGCAAACTATAAACGCAAGGCTGCAGTGATTTCAACAGAACGTTACCATCGATTTTTAAATGGATGTTTCGATCAAGGTATAAGATCTGCAACTGGGAGTTAAACGACAAGTTTGCGGCAAAACCTGTGAAGTTATTATTTGACAAATCAAGAACCTGAAGGGTTTGAAGCTTGTTGAGCGTTGCTGGAAGCAAGCCATTTAACTTATTTGAACCTAAAATAAGTTGTGTTATCTTTTGAAAACCATCAAAACAGTTATTTATTTTCCCTTCGAATCTATTACCATACAGGCGTAGCTCGTAAATATTTGGATTAGTTTTTCCAAAATCATTTGGTATTGTTCCCCTTAGTCCACAATTCGTCAGATGTAGGTATGTAAGTTGACTCATGTTCGAAAAATAGCCCATTTCACCTGATTTGAATTTCGCGTATTCTAAATCCAAAAACCATAATTTTGTTAGATTTCTTATTCTCGAAGGTAAGCGTCCTTTAATATAGTTATTGCCAACGCTCAGCACTTGTAGTTTTGGCAAGCGATCAATATAATGTGGAATGGTGCCGTGTAATTTTGTTTCATTCATGCAACAAACTTGTAATTTCTCCAGGTTATGCAACTGTAGTATGAGATCCCATGGGATTTCACCATAAATTCCTGAAAAGGCCAAGCACAGTTGACGTAGCCGATTCATATTACTGGAGATCACATCTGATATTGTTCCTGTCATTTGTTTATTTATAGACAAACATATTCCTTGTAGATTACGGATTTTCCAAAAATTTGGCAGTCGTCCAGTCAGGCCATTATCGATTAGATCAATCCATTTGATATAGCTACTGTTCATGTAGCATTGTATGCCAAACCATTTGCAGTGATGTATGGTGCTATTTCCCCCCCATCCTGTTTTCTTATACCAATAATATGGGCCGCCCGTTGCATCATACAAGTCAAGCAAGAACAAACGTTCATCTGTAGGAGTAAAGGTGTAATCACTCACATTGTTATCAATGACTAAATTATGCAAACATGCCGTATCAAATTTCCCTCCTTTTTCAATGAATGCGAAGTGAGAAATTCCTGAAAACAACAAAAGCAACAAGAGTTACGAGGTGATCAATATTGCTATGCTTGCACATGATTTCGCTTTGTATGTTATAGCAATATTTAGGAAAATTCATTCAAAGATATATGTTGTTAAGACGTTTCCTCTATTGCTTATAATCTCGGCCCGAAAGTTATGTTTTCTTGTGGGTTTGTAGAGTCTATCTATTGGTCGAGTGTCGAGTTTCAAGGGTTAAATGTCGAGGGCAAGGGTAAAATGTCGACGGCGAGTGTAAAAAGTCGAGGGTGATGGTAAAATATCGAGGGTAAAAAGTCGAGGGTTAAAGATCCAGACACATCGGAAGCGATTTGACAACGCGACAAAAATTTTCGATTTTCACTGCATGATCGATAACTTTGATTCTAGTTTAAATTTTCCAAATATTTAGAAGCGGTATAACATTTTGAGTTATTTGGTCTACACATCTTTCAAAATTTGCTATCATTGGCAGTTTTATTAATTTTGAAAAACTAAAACATCGCGTAGCGTTGTCGAATCGCGTCCGGTGTGTCTGGACCTTAAAGTGGCAATATCATTAAAAATTTTTTTCATAATCCAAAAATATAACGTATGCTTGATATTCTTACCAAATTTCAAGGCAAAATTCGCTCATCTTCCTGTCTTTTTACGATTCTTATTTGCCAATTTTACGGCCGCCATTAAATGCGCCCAATTGAGCGAAAATGCATTTTGAAGAGGATGTGACGTCATTCACTCAACATGCCGAATGTTTTTATTGTATTTCATTTTTCAACAATGTCTTCGTACAAAGGAGAGTCAGAAACTTCAGAAAGTGACCATTCGCATGGGAGCAAAGCGAGCTGTGATGAAGAAACGTACGGTGACTCACATTCAAGTGAAAATAGTGATGAAAAGAAGAAATCAAACCTAGAATTGTTATTTGTTGACAATAGATGGCTTGTTTGTTGTTGAAAACATGACCTTTGGCAGGTTTTCGGTCAATAATAATCCTTGTTTTTACAAACTTACTTTTGAAGTTGAAAAGGATAATTTTTATCACTCGTTCAAAGCTTGCCTTTAGCATCAATTTATACTTCTTTAATATACATCACAGCAATTAACTTGATAGTTTCTCACGTACACAAAAATAAGCAGCGATGGAAGGAAAACCTTTAGCGTACTGCGTATGATAATAAACCTTTCGGTCAATCAAAATACGAACAAAAATAGAAACAAATGCCTTGTAATTTATAGCTATATAAATAATATTTCAATGCATGTGTGTCTAATAACTGTCTATCGGTCTATTTCTGTATGTTTAACGACTGTAAATTAAACTGACATGCACTCAGGGAATTTTATAGTGCAAGTAAATATCCTACGACTCTATGCGCGTTTGTATCCTACGACTCTATGCGCATTCATTGTAGGCCGGCTAGTATTGTATGAGGGTGTGAATGGGGTTAACTGACTACTGACATTTGCCTGAATTTTTGACTGACAACTGACAAAATATCCTATCTGACTACTGAGAAATGATGAAAAAAATTATAAGTCAGCATTTTGCAGTAACTGACTACTGACAGCTTGCAATATATCGCACTGACAACTGACAATTGGCTTAAATTTTAGCTGACAACTGACACCCAAAGACCTCCATTAAGACCCTCTTGTATAGCAAACTATATACAGTATAAAGAGGTCACACGTGACGGGGATAAATACAATTTACAACTTGCATTTAAAAGGAGATGTGTAATTTTCAATTTGCGTCCATTGCCATTGGCATTGAGTATATTAAATGTCTTTAGTATAAATGTTGCATATCAAATGACCTTTCGCTAGTTGACTAGTAAATCTGAGGCATTATTTACCACCTGAGTAGTAAATAGTGTTTTTCAAAAAGAATGATTCGGCAAAATTTGGTTTCAAAATTGAGAAAATATTGAAAAAAATCGTCCCCAGAAAATGAAAGTACAAAATGTTGTATTTAACTTGAAAGGTAGGATTACTTTATTATTTTATTGTGTCAAATATATTCACGGACAATTTAAAACTCATTTAAAACTCCGAAACTTTCACTTCAAACAAATAGCAAAAACTATCTCGACTGTTGGGAAAAACCTTGCCATGATATTCTATTAAATAAATAAATGTTGTCACGATTAAATGTTGTCACGAAATAAAACAATGTTGTCACGTAAACAATGTTGTCAAAAAAGCAGGAAAAAGACTCTACATGCTGAGAGTGCTGAAACGATCAAACGCGGATACGAACACGTTAATCACTGTGTATACCACTATTATTAGGCCTGTCCTTGAATACGCCTGCCAAGTCTGGCATTTCAACATCCAAGAGTATTTGAGCGAAGACATTGAAAAGATTCAACGGCGTGCTCTGCGAATCTCGTTACCATTAATGAGTTACAGAGACGCCCGGAATTTTACCGGTATCCCTTTACTAAAAGCAAGGAGAGAAACATGTGAACAATTTTTTAAAAAGAATCAGAATAACGATAAACTAAGCGAACTATTGCATCATAAAGCAACAGCAGACTACGATATGCGACCAAGATGCAAGTATAACAATTACCTTTGTTATATAGCTGGCGTGAACACCAAACGTGATTGGCTGATTTGTGGTCACGTGACTTCAGATAAATGCAATGTTTCCCGCCGGGCAACAAGTGAAAAATTGTTGCCCGCCACGACCGGCCACGTACATAAATAAACAAAATGGCAGCACAACTACGATAATTAGAAACTACGATTTTCCAAGTTTGTGTTCAAATAAAGAATGTAAAAGGGAAGAAAAATACAGAACAGGAAACAGGATATGCTGCCGAAACCATTTAAGTAGGTTCTTTAATTTTAAACTCGTTTACTCTATAGAGTTTTTGCCACGAAAAACAATTGTTGTATATGAATGTTGTTGAAGTTGATTTTTGTTCGTCGCTATATAACAAAACACTTAATGTCTGTTCCCTCGGGAAATAGTTAGTTTTGTTTTCCCTCGAATCTCAATGTTTCCCTCGACTTCGTCTCGGGAAACACTGAGATTCTCGGGAAAACAAAACGAACTATTTCCCTCGAGTGCAGACTTTAAGTGTATAATATATATATATATATATATATATATATATATATATATATATATATATATATATATATATATATATATATATATATATATATATATATATATAGTGACTTTGATGCTTCCGTAATTAATATTGATTCTGATATACAACAACCAACACCTAGTCAAAATATGTCTGAGAGTACAAGTAAACCTACAGAGCCCAAGGATGACAGAACGCAAGGTACAAGTGGTAAAGGTACGTTTACACGCTGCGATTTGTCGGCCCGATTTTGGCAAATAATCGATGCCCCTTCTTCGACATTTAGCGATTTAAACGTTCAATTGAAGCTGTCCGCTCTCTCGTCTGTTGATATTATAGTTTTATGCGTGCGAAAAGTTTTCAACAATTTCACAACGGAAGAAAAATCGTTGAATCGTGAGAAAAATCTGTGTTTTGTTACAGATTTTTCTCCCGATTTTGTGAATCGCAAGATGCTGACGCGAGTACTCATGACAGGTTATTTACATACAGCGAGCAAAATCGGCCCGACAAATCGCAGCGTGTAAACGTACCTTAACAGTGATCGAGTACCAAAGAAAGGTATTGCACTTATTGGGGATTCAATAATAAAAAATGTTAGTCCGGTAAAACTCTCAAAAAAGGAAAGTTTATAAATTCACATATCCAGGTAAAACAACTATAGAAATAACTAATGAGCTTGCCAAAATTAATATTAAACCGGACCCGTCTCATGTTGTTATTCACGCAGAGACAAGGGACAAATGATGTCCCTGTTGAATCTATAGACGAATGTGTTGGTAACATGGAAAAACTTATTACAACAGCTAAACAGAAATTCCCTAATTCTAAAATTGGAATTTCTGGACTTACATTGAGACAGGATAGTGATTTAATATCAAAAATAGAAGAAATTAATGAGAAAGTTCAGAGTTTGTCATCTAAGCATGATGTGACATTTATAAGTATAATATGTCAATAGATGAGACATGTTTGAACTCTAGTGGCCTGCATCTAAATGCAAAGGGGACTGCCATACTAGCTACACATTTTATTAAGTTCCTTAGGGATGGACAATCCTTAAGTTCACTGCGCCCACAAAAACATTCCCGTCAGGATTTTCCAAAGAACACGATAAACCATCTGGCAGAACTACTAAATGCGATAATGAACGTGAACAAGTAAATTGTCAAGATGTGCCAAGCAATTCTTTATTAGGCATAGATAGTGAAATTAACATAATCGCCAAAAGTAAAGGTTTGAAGATAGCCAACTTAAATGTAAATAGCTTAATGAAACATCTGGGTGAAATTCGCTTAATCCTTAGCAATAACGCCCTTGACATTCTTGCAATTAATGAGTCCAAAATTGATAATCAGATTTCAAATAATGAGATACATATTGATGGTTTTAATATAATTCGTAAAGATCGAAATAGGTTTGGTGGTGGTGTGGTTCTATATGTTCGCCAAAACATATCATTCTCAGATAGAATAGATCTAATCCCTGATGAACTTGAGATGGTCTGCATTGAATTAAGTTTACCCTACAATAAATCACTGC